CTCGTTCGAACCACGACGGGTTAACATTTCGACCAGCTCGAAATAACACCCCTACGGCCAAGGGCCATCGCCGAATAGAAGAATTCGGCCGTCCGAATCAACATTCGGCCTCGTCCGAATCAACCTTCAGCCTCGTCCGAATCAACAATCAGCCCCGTCCAAACAACATTTGGCCCCGTCCGAATCAACATTCGGCCTCGTCCGAATTAACCTTCGGCCTCATTCGAATCAACATTTGGCCTCGTCCGAATCAACCTTCGGCCTCATCCGAAACAACATTCGGCCTCGTTCGAATCAACCGGCCTCGTCCGAATCAACCTTCGACCTCGTTCGAAACAACATTCGGCCTCGTCCGAATCGACCTTATGGCCAGGAGCCTTCGCCAAAGAAGAAGAGTACGACCTTGATCGAACAACGACGGGTTAATATTTCGACAAGTTCGAAATAACACCCGTTAAGGCCAAGGGCCTTCACTAAAAAGAAGAGTTCGACCTCGATCGAACGATGACGGGCCAATATTTCGATAAAATCGAAATAATACCCTCTAAGGCCATGGGCCTTCGCCAAAGAGAATTCGAAATGTCACTAAGGCCAAGTGTCGTCAGAAAATACAAAGGGAAAGAAAGATCGGGACTCGCCATGCGGGAATCTACCTCGCACCAAAGTCGAGAAAAGCAAAAACATAGAAAAGTACACAGCGAATAACAACGAAAAATTCTTCTTTATACGAAGTCACTGCGCAAATAGTCGCAAATTACATACGACCCTGATCAATGGTCAAAAAAGACAGCTATCTTTTCACTCGGCGGCACCATCGCCACTCTCTTCACCACCATCTCCAAGATATTCTCCCTCGGTATCGGCATCCTCAGCTGCAACCCATACTAGTCGACCTCCCCATCCGAATGTCTCGAACTACGATTAATGGTCCTCTCACCGAGCTCGACCAAGAGACGACCTCGATAAGCGGAGGGACTAACTGTATGAGTCAAAATTAGACCAGAGAAATTCGGCACGCGAAGACATAAGGCCAAGGTCGGACAGGCCAAGGTCGGACCGTCACCAATAAAGCCAAGGTCGGACCGTCATCAGTAAAGCTGAGGTCGGACCGTCATCAATAAAGCCAAGGTCGGACCGTCATCAGTAAAGCTGAGGTTGGACCGTCATCAATAAAGCCAAGGTCGGACCGTCATCAGTAAAGCTGAGGTCGGTCCGTCATCAATAAAGCCGAGGTCGGACAGGCCAAGGTCGGAAAGCTGAGGTTGGACAGTGATGAAACAACTAGTCTGCTTTGGAATCCTCAAAAGGAATATTCTGCCGAATATTCCCTCTAATTGTACCTTTTCTTTTAATGTTTTTCTAGGAATACCCCTTATAAATAGGAAGGGAGGACTTCCCAAAAAGGGGGGCTGGCTCTCTCCCTCTCCCTCTTGCTAGAAAAATATGTAAACACTCCTCTCCTTCGAGAGGAGAGGATCTATGATCCCATACCTTCATCAGATCCAAAAAGGGTCCAATGGTTCTTGTATTTTATCGATCATTCATCTTTATCCAATGAAAGAAGATCCGACTCACCCAAGATCGGGTTAATCTTCTCCTTTATCTATATTTTATCGCCATTTAATGTTATTCAATGCATCTTTCTTTATGCTATTAAATCTGGCTATAATCATGCCCAATATTTATACTCGGCTATGTTTTTCTACTCGTATTATTCCTCTCGGATCTAGAGTTAATTATTTTTAACTAGGATTTACCCCTTCACTTTGATTGATTTGTTCAAAAAGGTTTAAACAACTTTTGAGCCAAACAAGAATACCATAGACACACAGAAATGGTGTTCAATAAGCAGATTTACATAAGATATATGTAATAGAGGTCCCAATCCTACATTTTTGTTAGTCTACCTAATCAAAGGCACTTAACTGTTCTATTAGACAATAATGCATCATGGCAATGCAACTGGCCATAGACCTATTTCACAATTCAATTAGATTATGTTTGAAGACAGACAAACCAAAACTTTATCGGCATCCCACCTAACGATAACTAGAAAGCATGTAATTCACTCTACTACGAAAATTGATGAGGATCTCAAATAACAAGAGATTTTGGCAGTTGGCACAAATTGTTAATTTAGATAGTACTCGACAAAATGGCAGAGAACTTAGTTTATTAGATTTAATTATCTTCCTCCTTTTACTGTTTTAGTAGAAGCTAGGACATTATTTTGATGTACGCATTTTGATTGATTGTGATCATCGAGTAAGTTTTTGTATACCTGCTCTATGCTTCTCCGTAGAGTTTTATTTCTTCCTACTCAATAAAATAAAATAAGTTCCTGCAAGTGTTTTTGTGTTAGAAAGATTGATTTTTGAGTACCACATGACCCCTGGAGACCCCTGGAGTCGCACAATTGTATTCATAAATATACTTTTCTATATTTAGCTTATACAATTGTTTTCCTTTAGAGTATTAGACAGAGAAAACTTTCTTTATTAAGTTTAAGTCAATAGTTATTACAAGCTCTCCGAATACTTTCTTGCATTAAGTTTAACAATTCTTAGCTAACCACACGTAATTTATCATAATTTATTTTATTTTGTTAACTTGAGAGCTTAAGTTCCTCTAAAGATATTTGTTGTGTAAATATTATACGTTCGGTGTTTTATAATAGTATTCTTTATAATCATACGTGCTTACAACAGAATAAATAAAGTGAAATAGTTGTGCTATTTTTGCTCATTATATTTATTTGTTGTTTCTTGAGTATCTCTTGCTATTTGATTAAAACAAAAACATAATTCTACTGTTGTAAAATGACACCAGGACAGCTGGAGTTCCAATAGTTGCAAAAAATTCAGATTAATGGATATTCGACAATAAAAAAAGGGGCCCTCACTCGGTAATGGAAGCTCATGATAAGGATAGCAAACACCGTAAAATAGATGATTCTTTAGGAATGTCCTTGAAAGAAAAAAATTTATTGCAACGACGCCTATAAATTCGCGAAGCAACAACTAATCGTCTTGCGAAAATTATAAATCATGTCAATCACGTTGGAACAACATCTCATGTAGATGATATGTTAATATTCGACTGTCTTGTTCTTCGTCAGAAATAGGCAACAATATTGCTCTTCAGTTATATTGGTATGACATAGTCATCATACTTGATTTAATAGTGTTGAAACTAATAGCATAATTATGTTATGTTAATTCTGGAGGTTTTGTACGACTATGAACACAAAATCAACCAGGCAGTCTTTCCTGGACTTCAAGGTGGTCCTCACAATCATACCATTACTGGCTTGACAGTTGCCTTGAAATAGGTATCATATCTTTGACCCTTTTTCCAATTGTATGGACACTGGCTAAGTTAAGGGTCTTCTTATCCATCATTTAGGGATATAAAATATCCATGTGTCTTAGATGATTAAATAAGCTTTTTGGGATCTAAGAACTGAAGGGTTTTGACCTTAGGTCAGGAAATGATTTTGTAAACAAACAAATATAGAGTACTTACTTTCTCGGAATTTTACTATGACCACCAGCAGATAGCACTTTTGATGTCTTATTAAATCCTATTTTTTCCCCGCTAAGTGTGTAAAACATATGGATTATATAAAACAGCCAACCGATGACTGCAAACCAAAGCTAGAAAAGGTTTTAAAAGATCAAGATATCTTTGTGATGCACCTGACTACAACTCAGGTGAATTATTAGTCAGATTGAATTGGTCACCAACTCCTTATTAGGAACTACACTTTTCTTTATGAATCTTGAGAACAAAAGGGTTATCAAGGTTTGACAATTTTTCTTGAATTACTAATATGAAGATCGAGTATTTTATTTTAGCTTGGTCTTGAGTATTTTATTTTAGCTTGAGCAATTCATATGGTCTTGAGTATTTTATTTTAGCTTGAGCAACTCATAGCTAAAAATAAAATACTCAAGACAAACTATTGTTTCTTATTACTATATATAACGTATAAATTATCGGAGTACCGTAATATATAACTACGGTAGCCATATTTTGGGACGGTAGAACTTTAGTCATATTTAATTTAAGCTCATCAATACTTTTTGTTTTCACTTCTGCACTTTTATCAGTGAAGCGATTGTATTTTGTATTTTACACAATCGACACCTCTAAAACAACTAATGGTTTTCGTTGTACTCTCTCAGGACCCTGTTATGCATTCATTAGACATCACATAGATACACAACCACTGGTTCATCCATATGACATGAGAAAAGCATAAGAACGAACAAGTTGATGGGAGAAATTGGCGTCTTCTTAGAGTCTCTGGAAACCTTTCGGCTTCCTCACCTTTTAATGGAATGCTAACCACATGCGACCTGTTTCTCGACCTTCATATGAATTTTATACGAGTCTTTCTAACTGCTGCAAATTTTTCTGTTGTCGAATTTTTTGTAGCTCATTTAGTGCTATAAGAGTACTTTTGAGATTTTTACTCAAATTTTATTGTTGCAACAGTTTATTTGTATCATCAGGTGTTACTGCAAAGCCATATGCTTTTTGGGTAACATATGGATTACAAAGAGCAGGATTAAAAAGAATAAGATTTCCGTTGCAATTGTATAGTCTTCTATTTCTTTTCTGACTAACATCTCAGTAATAGCTAATTTGCAGTCTCCCATTTCTCTATACAAGCTCATCCTTTGGAGACAATGTCACTATACTTTCTACTATATTAGAAGTGCGAGTGCACTAGGTGAAGCTCGCAGGACTTCGTCGACATGCCTGCTTCAATTTTTATGTTTTTGCCCTTGGTTTTCAGTATTATTACATTTGTTGCCATCGAAGTTTTTAGTAAATAAAGCAACTTACCTTTTGAGGCATTTTCAAAGCCCGCTTTACAGCTGTAAAATTTACATGTTTTTTGCATCTTCTGAGTCTGACTCGCTGTATTAACAACACGACACGTGACCTTTAGCTTTTGACAATCGGTAGTTTGTAGAAGATAGAAGCGCAGATCTATGAAAGTTCATTGGAATTTACTCAGCTCCATCTCTTCTCCTCTCTATCTTCTGTCGAGTTTTCTCCGTGAGCCTTTGCTGGATTTCTCAATAACAATACGACTGGTGAGAATTTCTCTATTGTTCTTCTTTACTCACTGATATTTGGTTAAAATTGGTAGACGTTTAAATTAGGGATTTCTGTTTTCACACTTTATTTCTTTCTCTTTTTTGGGGTCCATCTCATTAGGTTTTTTGTTTTTCAAATACCTATCTCACAGATTGTAACACTTCTGAAATCTTTGGTATTCTGCCGGTGTCAGTGTAATTTCCTTACCAAAGCACTCAACTTTACTGGTCTTTAATAACAACTTATCTTGCATATTCGTAAGTGCGATTTCTTTATCTTTTTTTTGCTGAATCGTCGTATATGGTATGTGTAGAAGAATGATTATCATCAGCTTCTGAATAATCGAAATTTTGATGAACACCAACTTCATCGCTTGAGATATCATGTTTATTAATTATTATATCTTGAGAATTTTCCTGATTTGTTGAAGGTATCAAAAAAGAAATGGACTGAGAATGGCAAACTAAATGAGCTTTTGCCGTCTATTATAGACCAACTATTTTGTGCTGATGGGCCATAATGCTGCAATATGTCTCTGAGAAAGGGAAACTAAATGAGATTTTCATATTTCCTAGGTTTACTTGTGAAAAGTTTCTTTGTTGGTATTGAAGCACGGTGCTTTTTACTTGTGAAAGTTTCTTTCATATTTCCTAGGTTTACTTCTGAAAAGTTTCTTTGTTGAAACTCTGCCGCAAGCAAGTGAAAGTTGGATAACAAAGGCTAAAGTGCCCATGTACTGAGATTTGAAAAAAAAAGCCAATTGTAACAACCCGATTACCTGGTAGTCAACGACAATGTATCAGTCTCTTAGGGCTCAAAACAGCTATGTCAATAGTGGCAAGAGAAAGATCCATCACTCAGGTCCGACGCTTAACCTTCTTTGCCTTTCTAATAGAAACTTTTATTCTTTCATTGATTTTACTCTATCTATTTTTTGGTTTCTTACAGGCTTATTCTTGATTTTTGATTTTCTCTGTTTTCCTCTTGTAGATCACCACTTTTCTGATAGCAATAGGAGAACGGAGAATTGAAATTGAAGAGCTTTAGTATACGTTGCAGCTGAAAATGACTATGGAAAACCTTAACAAATACTAACTCACCATCAGGAACAGTAAAGCTTCAAATTTTATGAAGAGCATCAATGAGCTGTCATTCCGTCTATATCAAGAACAAGTATATGCGAGCTGACAATGGCAATCCCAATTTATAGTTATTTGTAGACCTTTTTCTTTTTACTTAGCTTATTAACCAAAAATTCATGTGATTTCAGTTCGTTTTATCGTGTTTGCCTCTTCCAATGGCCTTCAACAACAAAAAAATCCCAATGACAGAACTTTTTATGGTTGAAATCTTACGGCATGTGCTTAAATTTGTTCAGGTATGTTCTTCAGCTCATTTTGTCGCTGTTTTGTGGGAATTTAGGTTTAAAAAGAATAGATGTAGCAATTAGTATATTTACTTTTCCAATGTCTGTTAAATATGATAGTCGTTGTCTTTCTTTTACTTTGCTATGAATAGGTACAACTGCTAGAAGAGACAAAAGAATTCCTGAATGCCTTTACAGAAATACTGTATTTTATGGTATACCTTTACTACCCATTCAAAGATTGATGTCCTCAAAGTTATCATTCAGGTTAGTTTCATTGTTCGTGGCAATTCAATTACTTAAAATTTAATGGTGTCATACGAACATAATGAAGCTTGTAATGTGTATCTTTCGCATTACCTATTCTTAAACAAGTAGATATATATCTGACTTCTATTTTAGTAAATTGCACCAGATCATGTTCTATTTTTTCTTTTGTTTTCCGTTATATTTTATTTCTTTTTCAAAGTTCATCATTTCAGGGATGTCTCTTTTAGTTGTTTCAGTCATTAGATTCTACACTTCTGTTCCAGCAAGCTTAACATATTGAATTTTTTAGAAAATCGTTAACCTTTTATAATTTAGACCATAGTCAAGCTATTCTGTAAATGAGAAGAACTGATACTTACCTAAACCATGCAAGTGTTGGTTTAGGTTTCCATTTTCAACGTATTCGTAGATGGTGTACACAGATCCTTCAACATAATATCCTATCAAACGTACCTGCGACAGTTTCAACATGTGAAATATTACCTCCTGTTCTCTATGATGTATTAGGTTAAAGAAGCAGAACTAAATCACCAATTATAAATTTCACAAGGAAAATATCACGTTGGCAACCTAAATGGCTCAGATCAGTAAATGGAGTGGAAATATTGAGCAATGTAGAATCTTTGAAAGGAAGTTTATCAATAAAAAAAAGAAGGAAACGTACGTGCACCATCTTTTTGAAAGTTACATTAAAAGACTTATCATCTCACCATCTCGCGGTGGCACATCATATAATAGTGACTCTGTGACTATAGTAATCAAGATATTGCAGAAACATAGTATATCACTATGAGGTTTGAATTTACCAAGTTCAACTGATGAAATGGGTCAAAACCTTCAATTGAGCAAGGAACTCTTTTGTTGCTTGCATATTCATCTTCTTAATTGCAGCTTTCTGCATATTAATTGAGACAAAGGTGATTAACAAGCTAGCAGCATGAAACAGAAAACCAAACTATACTAATTTTTTTACATCGAGGGTTTCTTTCAATGAAGTACATGACGTCTAATGTAGATGACAGGATGCAAATATGAAATATATTGTGAATTTTTACAATTGTGGAATTGTAGGTTACTACTTTTGCTGGCTCTAGTTAAAGCTTGTATGGTAATAGGGCCTGGCATTATTACACATGCTATTCTGTCATGTCACTTCTTTTTGGTTGATTGAAACCTTAATTTGGAGCTTTTGAAGTTTTAATTGTTGTAAACTTAAATTCATTTTCTGGGAATTCCTTGCAGTTTTTTCGGTGAGTTATACAGCTAAACTTTCCTTAGGACAAGAACTCTTATGTATGACAATGAGGATGACATGAGGCACAGTCAGAAGCAATTCTTGCTTGTTTTGTGCGCATGATATAATTCGTGATTCACTTTCATTTGCTAAATTTACGATCTCTCTGTTATGAGTATTTGACACAACTTATTTTTCTTCATGACAGACTACAAAATCCTCAACCTGCTAGAGGCCACCTTAGCGGATGCAATGTAATGACCTGGCCGGTCGTTTTTGGAATTTACGCCCCGATCCCCTATTTACTGCTTTCCCCAAGTTTATTTCTACTATTTTGATTTGCCGGGATGTTCGATTTTGAGTTTCGGAGAGTTTTGGGACATTAGTCCCTGAATGAGAGCTTAAGTGTTGGAAAATGGTCCATAGTCAGAACAGTGTGAAGACGGCCTCGGAACGGAAATCCGATGGTTCCGTTAGCTTCATTAGGTGATTCGCGGTTGGGGGCGTGTTCGGAATGTGTTTTGGAGGTCCGTAGCTAATTTAGGCTTGAATTGCCGAAAGCTGGAATTTTGAAGTTTTCGGTCCGATAGTGAGATTTTGATCCGAGGGTCAGAATGGAATTCCGGAAGTTGCAGTAGCTCCGTCATGTCATTTGGGATGTCTGTGCAAAATTTTAGGTCATTCGGACGTGGTTTGGTTTGGTTTTTGATCGAAAGCGTATTTTGAGAGAAATTGGAGTTCTTAGGCTTAAATCCTTGATTAATTCGAGTTTCCGACGTTGTTTTAGGTGGTTTAAGGATTGGTACAAGTTTGAATGATGTTATGGGATATGTCCGTAGGTTTGGTTGAGGTCCCGGGGGCCTCGCGTGTGTTTCGGATGCTCAACGGGGCATTTTGGAGTTGTGGAAAATTGCAGAAAATCCTTCAGCTGTTGCATGCCCCTTTTCTTCTTCGCGATCGCGTCCTCCTCCACGCGTTCGCGTAGAGTAATTTTGGAGGAGGGCCAGTTTCTTCTTCGCGTTCGCGTTCACCCACCCGCGTTCGCGAAGCTTCGTCGTTTTCCTCATTCGCGTTCGCAGCCAGCCCTCGCGTTCGCGTAGTTCTATTTGGCTTTGAGGGCTGTGCTTATTTTTATTCATCGCGTTCGCATCCCCGTGTCGCGTTCGCGTAGCTTTGCCAGCCCAGGCCTTCGCGTTCGCGTACCATTCCACGCGTTCGCGAAGGGCAATTTTACAGCCTTCATTATTCCTTCTACGCGAACGCGCGACTCCCTCCGCGTTTGCGATGCATTAAATGTCTGGGCAGATATAAACATTTCAAAACGAGGGTTTAGCCATTTTTACCAAAACTCAAGCTTGGAGCTCGGATTTGAGAGAGATTTCGAGGGATTTTCAGGGGCAACGATTGGGTAGTGATTCTTAACTCCTTTTTGCTTATAACCCACTAATCTAATCACGAATTCCTCTTCTAATTTCGGATTTTTGAATGGAAAATGGGTAAAACTTCATAGACCGAATTATTGAGTTTTGAGTGGGTGTTTGACCTCCGATTTGAGAGATTTTTATATGGTTAGACTCGTGAGAGTACAAGGGTTCTGAAAATGTTAAATTCATCCGATTCCGAGACGTTGGCCTGAGGGGCATTTTGGTCATTTTACCTAATTTCGCGTCTTAGCTTTGAATTAAATAGTAGAATCAGTTGCTTGAGATGTTATTTACAATATGTAATTGAATTGAATAGATATGGGTCATTTGGATTCGGATACTCGTGGCAAACGTGTGGTTTCGAGTTGATTTTGGAGCCGGTTCGAGGTAAGTGGTTTGTCTAACCTTGTGTGGGGGACTTTTCCCCTTAGGATTGATTTCATGGTAATTGAAATGCCTCGTGCATGAGGTGACGAGCGCGCACTTGTGCTAATTGTTGGAAATCCGGTTTTTCCTTAAAAATAGCCTTGAATTGTGTTCCTCCTTTCCTTAGTTACACTGTTTGGATATTTCAACCTGCTATAGCTAGAAAAGCATGTTTACTTGACTAAATTGTTTTATCTGTCTTAAGTGCCTTAATTGTTCTACGTGAACCATGCTAGGTTAGGATTACCTGCTTCACTTTGATATGAAATTGATTGGGTTGAATTTTGTTGCTGCTGTTATTTACTTTGGGACTACGGAACGGTATTTCGGGAGATCCCCCTGCACTTTATTTTGGGACTACGGGACGGTATCCCGGGAGCTCCCCTGTATGTTTACTTTGGGACTACGGAATTGCATTCCGGGAGATCCCTCTGCACTTTATGAGTTGGACTATGGGACTGCACCCGGGAGATCCACTGGACGTGATATTTATATTTGGGGACTACAGGACGGTATCCTGGGAGATCCCCGGTTGTTATCTCGGAGTTGAGTTATGTTCTTTTACTGTGTTGTTGTTTGTCTTTGTAATAGTCATTGTTGTCCTTTATATCATGTGTTATTTAATTACACCGTCATTTTACACTGTTAACCTGTATGTTATTTAACCTCAGTAGGGCCCTGACCTTCCTCGTCACTACCCAACCGAGGTTAGGCTTGGCACTTACTGAGTACCGCTGTGGTGTACTCATGCCCTTTCTGTGCATGTTTTTCATGTGCGGTTCCAGGTACCTCCACCCAGGCGTATCACCCTCGAGGCGAAGAGATCTAGCAGAGACTTCGAGGTACATCTGCCGCGTCCGCAGACCAAGGAGTCTCTATCTTATTCTAGCTTTAGCAGTTAGCCTTCCTTTCTTACTGTTGTTTTAGACATTCTGGAGTTAGAGCAGTGTACTATATTCTGTTAGCTTGTGTTCCCATGAGTTTTCGGGTTTTAGGATGATATTGTAGACTTCCGCGTTATTGAGTTGTATATGCCAAGCGGCATGTATACACCATTTTCTTCTAGCGGTTTAGTGTTTGAATTATTATTTTCCGCAAGTTATTTTGTTTTCTGCATTGTAAGCTTACCTAGTCGTAGAGACTAGGCGCCATCACGACATGTTCACGGTGGGTGAATTGGGGTCGTGACAAGTTGGTATCAGAGCTCTAGGTTCATAGGAGTCACGGAACACAGGCGGTTTATTAGAGTCTCGCTGATCGGTACGGAGACGTCTGTGGTTATCTACGAGAGGCTATGTAACTGTTAGGAAAATTCCACTTCATTTGATTTCCTTGTCGTGCGAGATTTTGATGTCACAGCTAAACTTCTGTCTTT